GAGATGAAGTGTTTCGTCTGAAATCATGTATTTAGTCAAGAAATTGCGCCCTATTCTGCCTTCGGGTGAAATTGAACGGCAAAAAAATAAATGAGGAGAGTGAGACCAGCGAAATTTAAGCATTTTTAGTTGATATTATAAGTGCTGAAGACTCACTAATCTGCACTGAGCTTTAAAGGAGGAATTCACGATAAGAACGAAGGTCAAAGAAGGGGAAAATTGCATAGTTGGGAGACAGGCGGACCTCCTGAGGGTGCTGACCGACGCGCAATTGGCAGCGAAAGATTTGACCTCGGCGATCTAGCATGGCTCACTCTTGGCGCGGTTGGCGGGGTACGCCCACCGACTATCTAATCACTCGCCGCAGGTCTATACGTGGCGAGTGATTAGATAGCAGAGAGAGCGTAGTGTTGAAGAGGGCACAGCGATGAGAGTCGCATCAATGCGCAAATCAACGGGCAAGGAAGGGGTCCCATTTCTCGGGTTTCGGGCCGTTTCAAATGGTTTCTTCTTCATCCCTGCTCCACTGACCACCTCTACCCTTATTTCCAATGAGCTACTTTTCATCGCAAATTCTGCCTTTTAATTTTGCCGTTACGTTTGGTTATAACGTGAGCGTATGGAAGCAAATACTGTACACCAGGAGGAGGAAGCAGACATTAAGGGGATGATGGAGCAACCACAGCAACGAGACGAAGGCATCAGCGTATCAGCTAAACAACCCATTTAGGGCGGGTCCAAGCTGAAAGGGTATTTCCAGCCAACATTACAAGCCTCCACCGGCTTTATTGAGCAATTTTCGAAGTTGCAAATTAAGTACGGCCTGTGAGTTTGCAAATTTGGTCTTCCTTAACCTAGAATGGAGGTGTTCTACACAACTAATTGTGGGGTGTCCTTTAAGCCCTCATCAAATTGATGGTTTTGTGCCAGCTTACCTTCAGATACTCGTGCCGAGCAGGAGTCTGCTATACAGTTGTGATTCTCAGGACATTTCTTCACTGGCTCCTGGAAATGAAAAACTTATTTCACTTCGAATGAAGGCTGGCTAATTTCATACCATGGAATTGTAGTGAGAGACGGACTTTACCAAAACGGGCGACGTTTCGGAGAGGTACTTTTCTTGTTTCTAAAAAAAACATTGAAGAATCTTAGTTGAATCACCATAACACACACCTTTTCAAGTCTACGTTGAAGCCGTTGTGCCTCCCGCTTCGCCACCGCCATGTGGACGAACACCGACGTGTCGAAAGATGTGTCGCTGTCGATGTCGTCTATATCGTCCTCCTCATCGTTCAAGGCGCTGGTCACGATACTTTCTCCGTCTCCAGCCAGACTGACCTGTTGCCGCTTCTTACGGATGGCTCTGAACAAGGCCGCAAAATTTAAGAGCGCATGGCAGACTCCGATGACTGTCTCCTCACCTGTAGTGACTGGTCTCGTGAAGAATTCCCAACCGGTTCCGCTCTATAGTGCTGTAGAAACACCAAGCAGACCTGAAGTCACCTTTTTTGCAATGTTTTCACTCCTTCCTTCAGCATGCCTTTCTACTGGAGTACAAACTGGAGTTTTGAAAGCATTTAAGTTTTCAATAACAATTCCAGCTGGCTCCAGCTTCAAACTCCCCGATGATGCTGCAATAGTCTGGTTTAACCGACGTCAACCCTAGTCTAACGCCAACACACCCAACCATAAGTGCTTAGATGTCATCTTAACTTCGTGTTATAATTGGAATTGAAGTTTGGACATGTAGGGGAGTAAAGTGGTAAAATACCATTCATAACCTGGGCAATATGCTGACTAATCAACTTCCATTAATCATCTTACAAGGAAGGGCTCCCAGGCAGAGTCAACCCTGCGTTGCGCAGTTTTCAACGGCCACGTTGCGCAGTTTCGCCCGATTAGACACGTTCTCTCGCGCGAACATTCACACTCGCATGCTCGAGCCGTCTGCGTCTCCGCCCATACAGCGTGCGTTGAGGATCTCTCAACGTGCCGTTGCGAACTGCGCAACGCAGGGTTGACTCTGCTCCCAGGTCGCCCATGGCGCATTCAGAAGGAGAAGTATACGCCTGGATGTGCCTTTGAACGCTGATCTCAAATCTACCTTCCAAATCTGCTAAACGATTCTCTGGGCTTATGGAGCAAAACAGCGCAACGGGTAGTGGTCGGGACTCACAGTCAAAACGTCGTAGGATCGTCCCTTATCGTGTTTTAGTTGTTTTGCATTCTTCCAGGATTAGCCTAAACGGCATCCTAATAGACTTATTTTACTGGATTACTGAAGAATGCAAAAATCGATCAGTAAGGGACCGATCATAACAACGTTGTTAAACTGTGAGTTCCATCACCTACGTGTTGTGCCTGTTTTGATTCTAAACTCCGTTAAAGCCACGAGTCCGGGATTAGTTCCTAATGACTTTCTTTCTCAGAGTGATAAAGTGTGTCCCAAGGACAGGCCGGCCGCAAACATTTCTGTCGCGACTCAAAAGTGCGAGGCAACGGCGCTAAAGCCTTGCCTTGTGTGCTGCCCGTGCTGCCAGCGTTATCCAACCACGGCATACGTGGTCTCTGCGCCCTCTCGCGTACGACGTACTATCTCGCGTTTTCCCTCTCCTCGCAGCGCTGTGTCTCTCCGTCGTACTACGGCCGGCCTCCTAAGGGAAACTTTTTGTGTTTTTGTGGCTTTTTGCTTTCTCTCCCACTGATTCTCCTCTTTGCACTTCTTGCTCAATTTCCAAGCAAAATGACATCAATTCAATCCCGACCCGTGCCTTTAAGAGAATCGTATAGCAGATTTGGCAAGAAATGATTTGAGCGCAGCGTTCAAAGCCCAATTAGGCTATATATCTCTTTCGAATTGGTCGCATCAGCGACGGGAGCCTTTCCTTGTTAGTGACTTTCTAACACGATTAGAGGCCTCGGTTGGCGAGGACGAGATTCTAAATGATATTCGCTTGAGCCAGGAAACCTTCAGACCGTGCGCTAATCGCCGACGCTACTTGCCACTGTACCCGACACAAGCCGTTTAGACAGTGTGCACCCGAAGTAATCGTAAATTACGATGTTCCTGGCGCAGTCAGTACAATCAACATGACGCGCGTTTCTGGGGAAACAATCCTATGGATTTTCGCAAACAGTGAGGCTGACCCTATTCTCCAGGATAGCAATCCAAAAATTGGAGGAGCGTAACAGTCCAAGGGAGGTTTGTGCCGGGAGCCGCCCCATCCTACGTGAGGCAAATCTGACATGTGTGCCATCCTCCACTTCCTACATGAACGGCGCTCAGTACAGTTGGCGAGTTTGCTCGACGCGTTCTCTCTTCGTTGAGAGAGCGCAGAGAAAACGAGGGAAGTTCACGCGTCAATGCGTCGCGCATTGTACGTGACTACAGCAGAACATTATAATTCACGCCTTACTTCGGGTGCTCGCTCTGTCCAAACGGCTTAATCCACTATACCCTGTATTTAAGAAAACGAGAAGAGCGTCGAGTGCAGACCACACACCACAAGTTACGACGGCCAAGAAAAAAAGAAGAAAAAGCCACTTTCTCTTGGCCGTCGTCACTTGTGGTGTGTGGTCTGCACTCGACGTTCTTCTTTTTCCGGAATAGTGTGTACCACTATCGCTCCCTGTTGGAAAATAGGTGTCGAAATCTTACAGTTGCAACCATTTTCAGAGGTGTTGTTAGGAGAACCACATGCAGTAGAACATTCCCATTAATCAGCAGTCCGAAGGATACCAAAATGAAGAAGATGAACACGGACATCACTGGTCTGCGCGAGATGTCGGCCGGTAAGGGAAGAAGGCGATCTGAAAGATGAACTTTTGGAGCCTCTGGGGAACTAGCAAACCGAATGCAGACAAAACCTGTGCTGAGGGCGTTCACGATCCGAGATCCAGGCAGAAATGATGACAGAACAGCTCCAGAAAGACCGCACACAGATGCCACTGTTAGCATATATCTGAAATGGCGAGGTTGAGTCCCTGCAGGGCAAGGTCTTCCATAGTTGACTTATGCAGAAGCGTATATGGCGTTATTAAATACGATGCTGGCGAAAGCAAGCGGAGAAGGAATCTCTTTTGTGGAAAGCAAATAGGGAAGAGAAAAAGAAAAATCTCTCAGAAAAAGAGGTAAGAAAGCCGTGCACTCATTTTGCAACAAACCGCATGCGTTGGAAACCGGCCTCGTGATGCAATCTGAATGGAAAGCGTTTCACAGCACGTACATCATTTCCATTTCGTGCACATCATATTTCATTCCAAATTTCAATCGCATCGATGGCCGTCAATATTGTACGAAATTTCTTTGAGAGTCATGCAATTCAGGTGACTTCGAAGAGAACAATCTTTTCACTCTTCACCGTTCACTTTACTTCTTTACCAGATTCTAATTTATATAAATTCCCTCGAATCTACGAATGTATTTCCCATTCACTATTTTAGCGACCGTTCCGACCGTACACACGGTTTCTAGTCGTTTCCACTTATCGCTAGAATAGGGCCGCCTTCCTCTCGACCATTTATGCTGTAGTTCAGGCCGATAGATAGAGCTTAAAGGCACAGGTCGCGACAAGATAATTACAGAAGTTCTCTTCAGGAGGTGGCAGAACCTCTAATCAGAGGCGTGGTGATACTGTCACGACATCGAAATGCGCGACAAGTGAGCTAATGCCTTCGCTCAACTGCTGCAACCGCTGCGGATTTTATCGGTCTCAGCACACGCGGCGTGTGCACCCTATCGCGTAAGAAGTGCTCCCACGCGTTATGCCTTCCCTTCAAACCTTGCGTCTCTTCGTAGCAACATGGTCGACCTTACAACTTCAGTGTTTTATATGGCACTCTCCGCATTTCACTAGTGTTCCTGTTCGCACTTCTTTTTTGATTTCCGAACTGAACAACTCACCAATTCGATCGCGACCTGTGCCCTTAAGATCTCCAAACGCACTTTTCATGCAATAAAAGACGACAGAAAAACGAATTGACCAATCCATCTATTCTGATCAAGAGGAGCGGAAAAATAAGAGACGGGTTTGATGACAGGCAAGGGACAAATGCGTTGAAAAGTGCTCAAATGAGCTGCACACTCAATAGGACTCTACAGTAACGGCAATCACTCACTTGGCAGCAGGAACATTCAGAACGGAAAACATTTCTGGCACAAGCGTTTTGGCCGACAACTTGGATACATCGGTTGAAAGACTGAAAGTAGGTCTTTGAGTCCATTGTTACTTGAACAATTGCTCCAGTTGCACCTGAAGATCATGACGACGATGAAAGAAGAACAAGGACAGAAGGGTAACCAGAGTCGGAAGTAGCACAGGCATCTTTCGACGAGGGCTTCTCGTTCTCGTCGAAGAGGTACGAAGCAGCATCGACACCGGTGAACGCGACCGACAACGCGCAGACTGCCCGTAGAACCTGAACATCTCAACTCTATTCCTTTATTTTTCGTTTTTTTTTTGAAAAAAAACCTTTTTTTTTTTATTTTTCTTTCTATTTTACTTTTTCATTTGCCGGCCAAGTATACCTGACTGAGAAGCGAAAG